GCTTGAGTCACAGGCGCCAAGCCCTAGCCCAACATCTTATGCTAAGACTCTTTAAGGGCCAAATACTTGGGCCCCTTCTCCAGAGCTATGGTGTGAGGGCACATTGGTACTAGCCAAGGTTCCAGCATCCCTGGCATCTCTGTCTATAGGCTCCTGCTGCTGCTTCAGAGCTGTGCAAGCTACTTGGAGAACCTTGGCTCAGAACAGATGATGCCTTCTGCCCGGGCTGTGGGGCCCTGCATGTCTGTGGGGCTCACAGTACGACGTTTCTGGAACAGCCTACTAAAGCTGGGCATGCTCTACCAACAGGCAGCCCCCCAGGTGGGTTGGACCCACCTTCTTTCCCCCAGCTGTGACTGTCCTCACATCACAGCTCCAACTCCCACTTCCTGGGTTCCAGTGTGTGTACTGTGTCCTTCATTAGCTCCCCACTGCTCTCCCAGTCAGGCCTGTATATACAGTATGGCAGTTAAGACTTTAGATCTTGGGGGCCATGCTTGGGCTCCCTGACTCTGCCTTTTATGCTGTGGGACTTTGGGGGAAATGTCATCTGCTCTGAACCTCAGTTTGTTCATCTGTATGATGGGGGACTGTGAGCTTCATTTGTTAATGGCTTCTCCCACAGTCCTAACAACCACTCAGTGGGGGGTGACCACTATCACCATGATGGGAAGTGAACTAAAACTGAGAGTAGTTATTGTGACGGAAGAGCAGGCAAGTTTACTAAGCAAGAGCCCAGTAACTGGCAGCTGTTACTGTCACCGTTACCCTCCTAATATCATGCATATAGTTACATCAAGTCGGAGCAGCAGAGCAGAGGCCTGGCCTGGTAAGTTAAGTCAGTGGAAAAGAGGAAGATGGTTCTATCCTATTCATGATGATGTCAGACAACACCTGAAGGTCTGCACTTCAGACAAAGCTGTCAGTAAACATTTCCCCAGAGCACTGGTCACCTCCCAGGCCCATGCCCCTCATCTGCTTTCCTTTTTGTTTCCCAACCACAGAAAAAGACAAAGCAAGGGGATGCCCCCACCTCTAAGTCCACAGCCAAGGGCGAGCCAGCCAAGAGCCTTGAACGTATGACTGCCAAGTTCTTCAAGCCCCCCTCCCCAGTGTTAGGATTGCCTCAGACCTGCCAAGAGTTGGAGAGTATCCCTGTCAGAGTCTCCCTGCAGTGTCCAACCATGACCTCCAAGAATACCAAGAGCATCCACTCCCAGACCATTGAGACAGCCCTGGTGCCCTGTGATGCGTGCACCAGTGTCCAGGGCAGCCTGCAGGAGGTGGGCAAGGTGGTCATCAGCCTGTGTCAGAGCCAGAATTTGCCCTCATCCTTAGCCCAGTTCCAGCAGCTGGTGCAGGACAGCATGGGACTCAGGCCACTGCCAGCTGCCACTGTGAGCCATTGGGCAGCAGAGCAGAGCAAGGACCTGATGCGTCTCAGTAAGCATATGGGGACCCTCTCTCAGCTTGTCAGCCCCCTCAGGACCCAGCTGGGGGAGGCTGAGGGGCAGAAGGCTGAACTGAAAAAGCAGGTGGACAAGCTGGAGCAGGCGCTGCAGCAGAAGGAGGGGGCGCGGCAGCAACAGGCAGAGGAGGCTGAGCAGCGCCTGGCTGAATGGGAGCATGACAAGCAGCACCTGCTTACAGGTCTGTGCCCCAGGGTCTGGATGCCTAGTGCTCAGGGCTTTGCCGCAGTCTTAGCGGGGGCATTCCTGCCACAGGACAGCAGTCTGGGTATAAGAAATCCAGGTTGGGGAATAGGCAAGAAGTAGGAAAGGGAAGGCAGTGAAGAAGAGTATGTTTATCCAGTGGTGACAGGTGACATCCTGAGCAGCTGAGCCCTGTCCCACTGGAGAATGCCAGGAGATGCCTCTACTTGTCATGTCAGGAGGGAAGGGAGCTGGGGCATTCATCCACTCACTGTGTTGGTCATTGAGTTACTTTCAGGTAATTCCTCTGGCCCCTTCAGCCGAGCAGAGCAGCCTCTTTGGCTTTGGTAAACTGAAGGATTTGTGCATATCAGTACCCTTTCTGACCCTCACAGTTGCCTCCATGGTAGGCATCGAGGCCTAGGAAGTACAGCCAGCCTGTGGGAAGCAGTGTCCAGACCCCTGGTACTCCCCAGAGCCCTCTAACCTGGGTGGCCCCTCTGCATTGTGACACTGCCTCCATGCTGCAGGGCATGCTGGGTGTGAAGGCCACTGGCCAGGCCCAAGGGGCCCACTGAAAGGCCTCTCTTTTTGGCTACTGTAGAAATAAGTGACCTAAAGATGAAGGTAGCTGACCTGGACAGGGAACTGAAACAGCAGCAGGAGTCCATGCAGGCTGTAGGTAAGAAGCCCCATCTCAAGCTATGTCATGGCCAGATGAGCATTCTCCATCTCTGTACCCTGAGCTTCCAGGACAAAGATAAAGGAAATCAAGGGAGAGTGGGCCTGACCGACCACACTATTGGGCAGTGGCCAAGCTGGGTTGCTATCTCCTGCCCAGACAGCACTTCTGTTTAACAAATGCACTTCAGCTGTGAGGAGTCCAGAGCCCCATTTTGTGGCGGAGAATATTGAGGCCCAGAGATGTGATATGACTCCCTCCCCGGGTGCCAACTGGATCAGAGGTAGTGTAGGAGCTTGCAGCCCGGGCTCCTCTGCCTTGCCCTTCCTGCACCTGCTCACTCCTACAGAGGCAAAGGCAAAGCAGCTGCAGGAGGAAAGCGAGCGCAGGGTGGTGGCTGAAAGGCAAGTACAGCAGCTAGAGGAGCAGGTGCAGCTGCTGGCGGGACGACTAGAGGGAGCCAGCCAGCAGATCTGCTGGGCCAGCACAGAGCTGGACAAGGAGAAGGCCCGCGTTGACAGCATGGTCCGCCACCAGGAGGTATGGCCAGAGGCCTCACCAGGCCTTGGGTGCCTGCAACATGGGTTGCACAGAGGGGGCCCCACTGGCAGGGAGTGGAGGGCTTATCTACGTATCTATGTATGGAGAGTCTGCCCTGAGCCAGGCACTGGGGGAGACAGTGAGGCCTTACTCCGGAGGGTTCCCCATCAGGCAAAGACAAGCAGATGTGCAACATCTCTCCTGCCAGATGGCTAAGAGGGGTGAGGAAAGTACTGCAAGGGTCCAGGGAGGGACAGCCATGTCTGCTGTGGGAATCCAGAACAGCTTCTGGATGGAGGTGACCTTTACGCAGGATACTAGTGGCTGATGATCAATCCATCAGCCAGGAGAAGGACAGGAAAGGCAGCAGGTGAGCCAGGATTCAGATGGCAGTTGTGCTCTTGGCAGTGGGGTCTCATGGGAGTTCCCAGGGGTGTGACTGAGGGAAGAGGTGATCAGTCACACAGTCAAGGGAGCAGGTTGGGGGCTGTCCTGGCTAGGCATACTCTCAAAGGCTCAGCAGGGAGCCTAGAGCCCCTTTGGAAGTTATCAGGGCTTAGGCCATGGATAGGGAAATCCTTTCTATCCCAGTAGGCACTTTTCTTGAAAAGTCACAACCACTACATATTAGGCATCTGCTGTGACCCTGGGCTTCAGGCTCTGCAGCCCTCTTGTTCTCACTCCCTACCACAAGGGTAGGTGATGGATCTTGTCATCCCCTTTTTGGGAAGTGGCCCATGGCCACACAGCTAGTGAGATATGGAGCCAGGACTCAAGAGTAGACTAGTGTAGGCCCTTCCTGCTTTACACTCAGTGAGTATCAGTGACATGGGCAGATGTGGAGACACTGGAGACCTAAGGAGAAAGAAAAGCTTGGTTCCTAGAGTTCCTCTGGGAGAGGGGACTGTGACTGGGAAGAGAGCCCTGCTGCAGTGCTCTCCTGGGGCTTTGCACAGTCTTTTGCTTGCTGGGCTAGCTTCCACTGTATAGGCACAGATGCAGGAGGCACAGCCAGGAGCTCCCAGGGGGCACAGCTGGGAGCCTTTTAGTCCCACATGGTCAGGAATGGGCCACACACAGCCTCCCTGCCTGTCCACTCCCGCTTAGTCCCTTCAGGCCAAGCAGCGAGCTCTGCTGCAGCAGCTAGACAGCCTAGACCAGGAGCGTGAGGAGCTGCGGAGCAGCCTGGACAAGGCAGAGGCCCAGAAGGCCTGTGTGGAAGAGCAGCTGCAGGACCTAAAGGGCGAGAAGGAGCAGGGGTGGTGCCAGCTCCGGGCCCAACAGGTGAGTGCCTCCAGCCCATCTCAAGTCTGGGGGTTGGGGAAAGCGTCCTCCCTAGGAGAGAGCCCAGAGCCATGTGGCTCAGGCCTGGCTCCTGAGCCAGGGCAAGCATCTCCCTGCCCCAGGAGATGCTGCAGAGCCTGCAGCGAGAGAAGCAAGGCCTGGAGCAGGTGACCACGGACTTGCGGCTGACCATCGTGGAGCTGGAGCAGCAGCTGGTGGAACTGAGGGAGAGGGAGCGGCTGCTGGTGGCCTTCCCGGACCTGCACAGGCCCAGCGAGGCCCAGATCCAAAGTAGGAGACCAGGGGTGGTGCTGAGGGTACAGAGGATCCAGGGTGGGCAGCTGAGGGCTCCCACAGGGAGGACACCAGGGCTGCAGTGCACCAGTGTTCAGTGAGGATAGCCAGCAGCACAGCCCCTACATAGCAGCATGACACTCAGGTGCTTCATGTGTTAGCCTCTTCCTGTGCAGACAGGGATGTGAAGTCCAGAGGTGATGTGACCATCCCCAGTCACAACAGCCAACTCCAGAGCCAGTCTGATTTCTTTGTAGCCCATGCTCTTTGCCATGTCACATGCCTATCCTTAGACTTACCTATGTTCCTTTTCCTGGCATCCCCTAAACCACACCACAGGGCTGGCTCCAAGGAGATAGCCCACAGGTGTCTAGTGTCCCAGACCCCATGGCATAGGAAGGCTGAATCCCCTTTTTGGCACAGTATAAGCTGTCAGGCAACCTGGTTTCACCTCCCAGCCCCTTAGACATCTAAAGCTCTGGGGCAAGTCCATTTGCACAGCTGTCAGGAGGAGCTGTACTTTAGTTGCTCCTGATAAACCATTACTCTTGAGCACTAAAGAGTGCTAGGCCTGAGGGGGTACTAAATGTATCCCTCTCAAACTCTCTGTGAGGCAGTCAGCAGCCCCTTTTGACAAACCAGAAAACTAAGAACCAGAATAGGCAGCAACTTGCCCAGGTTCATAGAGCCCAAAGGAAGTATCCATTACCAAAGCTGCGGGAAAGGTATCCTTGGTGAATTCCTGTGACTCATACCAGGCGCTGGCTGTGTGACTTTTGGCCAGCTTTCTTTCTCTCTGGCCTGCTGAAACCAGCTGGTCTTGGAAGAGATTCAGTCTCTGCCTTATTTGCTAAGACCCTTGCAAGGTTCTAGGGCCCATCTAGCTATCAAGTTTTATAATATTGTGGTCACCTTCCCATCAGGCAGGGGGATAGGGAAGGGGGAACAAGGCCTCATTAGGACAATGACAAGCCGATGTGCCTGTCCTCTGAGGTCCTGCCCTGCTAGGCACAAGAGGCAGACCTGGTGAGGTGGGGACCCAGACAGCATGTCCCCACAGATTCTGGCAACGTCACAGATGACATGGAGAAGCAAGTGAAGGCCAATGACATCCGTATCCAGGTTCTGCAGAAGGAGAACGGGCGGCTGCAATCAATGTTGTCTAAAATCCGGGAGGTGGCCCAGCAGGGGGCTCTCCAGGTGGGCCTGACAGGGTGGGTCCTTGGTGTCTTAGAGGAAGTCCCTACCCAGCAGAAAGGTCTTTAGAATCTACCATGGGAACTTGTCTAGAGCCCACCTTATTACATGTGGCTTTAGGCTGTGCTTTTCTGAAACATCTTCCACATTTCAAGAAGGCCTGAGGATGTTATGGATCCAGTGCTTCCTAGCTCCAAAGCTCCCTGTGGCACTTCACACCTATATTTCGTGTGCAACCAGAGCCTTATCAGGAGGCAATCTGCCCACATGTATCACCTGCTTGAGAGTTTGCAGCTGAGGATGGACCCTGCCCCTCAGAGAAAAGACAATAGTTATGGACCTGGGCCCTTCTTCCCCATCCCTGGCTGTGATACCCTTTCTGTACAGTGGAAAGGGGCCTTCTGGACCCTTCTGAGCTGGGCTTTCTTTGCAGCTGATCCCACAGGACCAGCTCTGGTCCCTTCCCAGCAAGGGAACTCAGGGTGCAGCATCCCCAGTGCAGGCTCAGCGAGTATCCCCACGGTGAGTGAGGTTTTGCCAGAGGCAGGGCAGATGAGTGGGTGGAGTAGTCCCCCTTGCTCACGGGAGATCTTGCATCCTCCCTCAGGCCCCTGGGCAAGTGGCACCCTGCTGGCAGCAGGACTGGCAGTGCGAGCAGAACCTTGCCAGGCCAGCCTCGAGCATCCTCACCTCGACAGTCCTGCAGCCGGTCCAGCAAATCCTCCCTGGAGGATGTGACCCACTCAGCCATCTGTGCCCAGAACCCCATCCGGGCCTTGGCCAGGCTGAGGAGGAGACTGTCACCAGGCCGGGGCCAGGCCAGCTCTGCACACCTGCCCCAGGAGCGACCCATGTAGCCTACAATGGACTGGGGCTGGATGGCAGGTGGCTGGCGGCCATCCACTGTAATAAAGCTCCTGCCATCTACCCACAGCAATCCTGGCCTCACAGCATGGCTGAGTCGGGGGAAGAGTCCTTCCGTTCTTATTCTGGGCATAAGCCAGTGCATCCCCAGCCACACAGGTCATTGGCCAGCAGAGTCCTGGCAGTATGAGCCCCAGAAAATGGGAACTTCCTGCCTCCCTCCTGACATATTATGGAAGAGGGGAGCACACCAAGGGCAAAAAGAAGGTTCTAGCACATAGGCCAGGCAAAAGGCAGTCTTTCTATCATTACAAGTGTCAAGGGGTAAACCTGGATACAGTGACTGGCACCAACCAAAAGGAGCAGGTTTGGAGGTGTGAGAGAAGGGCCAATGAGGACACCTGAGACAAGGATTTGGAGGCTCAGGGCTCACAGAGGCAGGCAGAGGGCAGCGATAACTTCAGCCTCCCACCCTGGCTCTGAACCTGGGGCTGGGGATATTAAGGGCCCAAGAACACCAGGCCCCCTCTCCCTGGAACACTCCTTGCAGTTAGGAAATGGTGAGAATCACAAACAGTTTCTCTAAATCCCGGAAGTCAAAGCCCCAGGAGGCCATTCAAGACAGGCCTATCCCTTGGGGCCCACCCAACCCAGGATGCCACGTGGCTGGGCACTAATGCCAACAGCTACACCAGGCACACAGCTCTAGTTTTCTTCTGGCCTCTGCTGAGTCACCTCTGTGACTGTCAGACCTTGCACAAGACTTCTCAGGGTACACACTTCCAACTGCCTAGGAATTCTCCCTTGGTGAAGAGGCCACTAGGCAGAGCATCTGAATTAAGAGGAGTCAAGAAGAGCTGTGTAGAGCTGAGCTGGCGCAACTGGGTCTGCCTAGCTCCAGCCCTCAGAGTATGGCTCCCTGAGCAGGAGGCTTATGCCCACACCCAGTTGCGAGGACCTCTTAACTGAGCAACTAACTTTCTCAGGCCTCCACCAACTTGTTGTCCATTAATTGGCTCTTAGTTCTGAAAGTCAGGGTCTGCATGGTTGAGCTCTCTGCTCAGTGTCTTAGAAGGCTGAAATCAATGTATTATAAGTTGTAAGTTGTTCCCCTGTAATGGCTCTGGGAAAGAATCCACTTCCAAGCTCATGGTGGTTTGGTAGAATTTTGATCCTTGCAGCTGTAGGACTGAGGTTCCCATTTCCTTGCTGCTGGCTGTCAACCTGGTTCTCCCTTGGCCACTACAGGCTATATGCCTTCCTTGCCAGGTGGCTCCCTTCATCTCCAAGTCAGCAATAGAATTTCTTTTTTTTTTTTTGAGACAGAGTCTCAAGCTGTCACCCTGGTAGGGTGCCTTGGCATCATAGCTCATGGAGACCTCCAATTCTTGGACTCAAGCAATCCTCTGGCCTCAGTTTTTCTATTTTTAGTAGAGATGTGGTCTCACTTTTTGCTCAGGCTGGTCTTGAACCCGTGAGCTGAAGTTATCTACCTGCATCAGCCTTCCAGAATGCTAGGATTACAGGCGTGAGCCACCACGCCTGGCAACAACAGAATTTCTTACGCAGTGAATCCCCTTCATGCTTCAAATCCCTGACTTCCTCTTCCACCAACTGAAGAAAAGTGCTTTTAACAGGCTCATGTGGGTAAGGTCAGGCCACTTGGATACTCTCATCTTAATGCTATGTGATATAGCATTAGAGCCATGGTTCCAGAGATTATCCAAGGTTGTGCCATGGTGGAGAAGTGGAGGGCATCTTGGGGGCTACCTTAGAAGTCCACCTACCCACAGGCAGTAGAACAGAAGGTGGCTTTATCTTAAAACATCCATATAGCTCTACATCTTATGTTAAAATATATCCATGTTTATTTTATTATTAAAACTTCCCAACCCGATTACACTTGTTTTTTGCTTGTTTGTTTTTTAATGGATACCCCGAAAGTTGCACCACATTTATCCTGTGGCTTCAAGTATCCTGGTCAGCAACATACAGCCCCAACCAGAAGTATAGGACTAGACAGTTTCTAAGGCCTCTGGTCCTAGCCAGGCCTGGGAAGGCAGCCCAGCTGCACAGGGAGCAGGAACCATGAGCCCCAGGGCCCAATAACTGAGGGCCACAGGGAACAGAGGTATCATGGAAGATGGTTAGGCCAGGGTGCCCCAAGGCCCGACAGCTCTTCCTTTAATACACCCCTACCCCAATAAATAAGCACCAAACCTGTCCACTATAGCTTCAGCCCTCAGGGACCCCTTGACAGGCCACAGAGAACTCCTAGAACCCTGAGGACATCTGGACTGGCTCTAAATTCTCTTCCCCCAGTGACCTGGGAGCTGCCTGTGAGGAGAGTAGATACATATGTTCCAGAATTCCAGAGAGGGGCTCCAAAGCACCCTCTTATCCTTGGATAGCAGCTACCAGCCCTGAATCCTCCACTTGGTGGTGGATATCCCTCCTTCCCAGTGTGGATATGGTGGGGTATCCTCTTGCTCACAGGTCTTGCTGTTCTGTCCATCCTGCCAAGGGTCGGGGTATAGGCCCGAGAAGTCCATCCCATGTGCAAAGTCTGTGAGGGGCAGCTAGTCATCTGAGTAGCAGTTCCCTACAGGGGAAGAGGAAAAAAGAACAGGGAGGGAGGCAGCAGGTGGAGTCAGCCAAGGGCCCCACACCTGTTGCTCACCTAGGACGTTGAATTTGCACAGAGGACAGGTCTGCTGGAGCAGCAGCCATGGGTCCACACAGTCTCGGTGGAACTCGTGCTTACAGGGCAGTACCCGGAGCCACTGCAGGGGTAGGGGAGGAAGGGCTCAGGCCAAAGGGGTAGGACTCCAAGCAGGGGTACCTGGTCCCATGTCCCTCACCTGAGCTGGGAACCAAAACCCTGTGGCATATCCACCCCCATGATTCTGCTTTCTGTAACCTGGTGGGAGGTCTCTCAGCAGTCAGTGGGAGGCAGCCAGGTCAGCCAATGGCTGGTGCCTACCCAAGGTACTAACCTGCTTGTTGCAAAAGTAGTCCAGGCATACAGCGCAGGTCTCAGTGCCAGGCTCTGGGAGGCCCTGCACTGCCCTGCTCAGACGGCAACGCCGCGTCTTGAGGGATGCCAATCTCCGCACTACACGGTGCTTAAATAGGTCCACCTATGGGGAAATGACAGCCACGGTCTTGCACACCCAAGGGCTGGGGGCATGGGGCTCCTCACGATGGCTCCCCACCTGGCCTCTGGGCTCCTGCTGGTTCTGCCGTGATGCTTGCCGCTGGGCCTGGACCACGAGGCCTGTACACAGGAGCATGGCCACCAGCAGGATGGCATTCCACAGCTGCTGCAGGGGCTTGCAGGGAGGCAAGCAGGTGTCAAGGATGCTGGGGCTGTCCCATATTCTTTACCCAGGAACATCTACCCCAGGAATACCAGAGGCCCACACAGGTGAGGGCCTCTGCATCCCTCCCACATGCATATTCCTCAGGGTCTGCCCCAGCTGCCGCCTTTATACCCTATACCCCAAGGAGAGCCATATTTGTTCCCAGCCCAGGGCTCTTCTGAGCAACAAACCAGGTGTTTTGCAATCATAGAAACTTCTACGCAGCCTCAAGGACTCCCCAACCCATTTTCCTGTCCAGTACCTAGTCACCCTCCCACCTCAGCCCACCCCAGGTTTCCTCAGGTCCTGCCACCACTCACTTCTGCCCAGGCTGAACACTGGCACAAAGGGAGCCAACCCCCAAGCCCACTGCTTGGCTCTCCTGGGAGTCTCATGCCATCCTTCCCACCCATTTCTCACAGCCACAGGGATCTCACCTGCACACCTTGACCCCAGAGCTCCTCTGCCTGACACATTTCCCTCTAGTACAGCTCCACCTGCCACCTCTCTCTTCTCAGCGTCCCATGCTTCTGACTAGTCTTTCACACATTGTTCCTTATCTTGAGGACTCTTTTCTTCCTTGCCCCCTTCCTTGGCAAATGCCCCTGGATACCCCTTGTTTCAGCAGCTCTCCCTGACCACCATGGCTGGCAAATATACCTCCCAGATACCTCACCACCTTAACCACAAGTTTCCTTGCTGCTGCCCTCTGTTGTGCATGTGCTCCTGTTGGTAGGACGTGACCATACTGACATGGTCACCACTGTAGCCCCAGGGCCTCACATGGCCTTTGTGGAAAGGAAACAAGATTAAAAGAACACTTTAACTAGTGTCCAGGGACCCTGGGGGGCCAGAGTTACTGGGGGAATCACACTGACCTTGACTTAACACCTACCACATGCAGTGTGCTTCTAGGCTCTGCCTACTGAACAGCTGGCTCAAGAAATGATGTGGCAGAGAAAGCAAAAGATGGCACATCACGCTGTTCCCCACAGGCACATCACTGCACACGGCCTGGAGATGTGTTATAGTTGATAAACATCATCTGAAAGCTGTCTGTATTCCGAGTGGCTCTCTGCCATCATGTTCTTCCCTGACCAATGCTAAAGTTCAGCTACTGTCGTGTAGGAGAAGGGCTGAGAAATGATTTGATGTTAAAGAGGCTGGGTGCTGCTAGTGCTGTAAGAGGTTGCTCTTGCTCGGGGTGGAGGCACTTTGGGGGCCGTTACTGGGTCTGTGAGCCCCAGGTCCCCTCTCTGTCCTTCCCCCAGGACAGCTGCAGGTAGGCAGTGGCACCTGTTCCAGGAAGCTGTCCCCAACCTCCAGGCTGAGCTCAGGTGCTTTCACTGGAAAGTCCTGTGCCCACCACCAGCTCAATGCTCACCCCAGCAGGGTGAATGCACTTCTCTGGCCTATCTGTTTCCTAGGATAGGCCCCCATGAGGCCCAGCTAGAGTTGCCCTGCCTTTATGCCCCATGCCATGCTATGCCCATGCCATAATGGCCTGCAGCCATTTCAGCACAAGCACTCTGGGGCAGAGCCTGCTCTCAAGATCTGTGCTTTGGAGCAGCCAGCAGGGACTAGATGGCCTGAGGGTACAGCCAGCCTAAAGCTCAGCTGCAGAGACCCAGCCTCCCCAAGCTCAGCTTATCTTGGGAAGCCCAAGGTGAGGGGGGAGGGCAAGGTAGTGGCTGATGTTGTTCATCAGCCATTCCCAATACAAGGGTGCTATAGCTCTGGACCCCTGGAGGCTGGAGTGACTGTGCCCTCAAGTTAGAGCTGAGAGCCCCATGTCCATAAGACAGCCACTGAGATGCCTGCCACAGCCACCCTGCAGACACCTTAGCTTCCATGGCCACCCAATACTTGCTGGGCTCACTAGACCCTGATCAACAGTATGGCTAAGGCTACTGAGCTTTGCACACTGTACCCATCAGACTGCCCTGCAGACCACAAGCATTCCCACCTCCTGGCCTCTTACCAAATGCCTGCCCTGTCCAGAAGTCTGTGTAGGCCATTCATGTGTTTACAAATAAGGAACATGAGACCTGGCTCG